GGAGGGGTCACCGGGGCGAAGTAGGCGTGGACTTTGATGTTGGGTAAGTGGGTCTGAAAAACAAACACAACAGGGGGGAGTGACCGAGGGAGGCGGTGGAAGGGTCGGGGAGAAGCTGGGAAAGGCTCCTGGGCTTCAGACTGCAGCTGAACACACCCCCCGAGGCAGGCTCTGCCTTCCCCGGCAGGGGTTTTTGGCAGGGGGAGAGGAAAACGGAAAAAGCTGAGGTTGTCCCTGAGGAACAATTTCTTGCCCTGGAGGGTTGCCCAGGGCTGTGCCAGGCTGCCCAGGGCAGTGGTGGAGTCCGCACCCCTGGAGGGGTTTCCAAGCCGTAGAGATGTGGTGTGAGGGACACGGAGCAGTGGGGACCTGGCAGTGCTGGGGGGTGGTTGGATTTGACCTTAAAAGGTCTCTTCCAACCAAAATTTCTCTAGGATTCTTTTCCCCCAGACTGCAGGTGAACAAGTTCTCTCTGTCACCAGGGAACAGCCTTACAGGCAGCAAGACAAACGGCTGCTCTGAACCAATATCCAGCTGTACAGACCCACATTCTCTTTGCAAATAAACCATTGCCACTTCTCCTGGGACACAGGGTGGCTCGGATGGCCGGTGGCTAGTGACTGAGTGGCCCTGGCCCTGGCCACACAGCCTGCCCACAGCAGAGTGGCTCTCACCCAATTAACCTGAGTTATTTATATGGGAAGAGTCAGTACAAAGGGCAGCACCAGCCACCCTGAGCACAACGCAGGGGAGGGGAGGGGACATCTGTGCCTGCTGTCCCCTGTTTAAAAGGGCCCTCGAGTGGTGGAGTCCTCTCTGCTCCTCCCTGCTCCCACTCCACAGACACTGCAATTATCCCTCTTCCCAACCACCTCAACTCCATCCCATCTTCCGAGCGCCCACCAGCCATGAAACCCAAGGGTGATGGTTCTCACAGGACTTTGAAGAACCAGCACCAGCTCAGGAGGCACCTGCCCCCTCCTCCTCCCCCCTCCTCCCCAGGGGATAAAGGCCTCAAGCGCAGCCTGGGCGGCGCCCGAATGTCTTTTTTTTACCCTGAGTCTCTTGATCCCCGCCCGCGTGATCTGCTGGCAGTCGTAGAGCTCTATCCTCTCCAGGCTGTGGCAGCTCTTGAGGTGCTCCAGGGAGGCGTCGGTGATGAGGGGGCAGTTGTCCAGCTCGATCACCTCCAGGCGGTCGTGGGCGCAGGCGCCGTTCCCCAAGTGCCGAATCCCGTCGTCCGTGATCAGCTCACAGTGGGACAGGCTCTGCAGCCAAACACAGCACGTCAGCAGCCTCTGCTGCTGCCAGCAGCCTGCCCGGGGATGCTGGGGCAAGAGAGGAGGGTGCCCACGTCTCATAGCTGCAGACTGGTCTGACACAGTGGTTCTGGAAGGGCTGTGGTCTCTCAGCTCGCGCCGGAGCCACTGCTGTGCTCCCAGCTGGAGGGACTGGGATCTGTGGGTCTCAGACTGCAGGCACTGGGATCTGTGGGTCTCAGAATGGAGGCACTGGGCTCTGTGGGTCTCAGACTGCAGGCACTGGGATCTGTGGGTCTCAGAATGGAGGCACTGGGATCTGTGGGTCTCACACTGGAGGCACTGGGCTCTGTGGGTCTCAGAATGGAGGCAATGGGATCTGTGGGTCTCAGACTGGAGGCAATGGGCTCTGTGGGTCTCAGAATGGAGGCACTGGGATCTGTGGGTCTCAGAATGGAGGCACTGGGCTCTGTGGGTCTCCCATGGGGAAAACTCTGAGCTGAGGCACAGTGGGAAAAGGCAGCTGCAGAAAGGAGACCCACAGGGCCAGGAGATAGGATGGCACAGAACCAGAATAAACACCCCTGGCTAGCAAAGAAACCCCCTCTGTGAAATCTGTCCTTAGGCAGCACGGGCAGGACCCTGCCACTGGCTCCAAGAACCAGCAGAAATACAACCTCAGCTGCTTGGTGCAGTTTTGAGGGGCTGCAGAGCTGGAGCTAGAGAGAGCATCAGGCTGTTGCTTTGTTGAGGGGCACAGAGAACCCTCAACCCTGCATCCCCCCACCTCCCACACCAGGACAGGTTTTCCCACAGGGTCACACAGGAGACTGAGACTAAACTCCCAGAGATTTAGACCCAGAGGAACATCTCTTCCCAGGAAGCTGGGCAGGTCTGAGCTGCCCAGCTCCACACCACAGGAGGACTGACAGCCCAGGCTGTAGGTGGCTCCTGGCAGGGGCTGGTCCCAGGAGAACCCAGTGTCCCACAGCTCCTGCTCGGGCAGTGCTGGGTGCCTGGTGTGCCACCAGTGCTTGCAGCAGGGGAGGGACAATAGGTTCTTCAGGGTCAAGTCTTAAGTTGAATTCTTCCACCCCTTTGCAACGTGTCTATGCAGTCAAAGAGGCAAATCCTCACAGGCAGGGCTTAAAATCCTGTTGTTTATGGAAAGAAAATACTGAAAGTCTCTCTGGTAGCACTCACCAGGACCTGAAGCCGTGGACAGTGTATGGAGAGCTGGATTAGTGTACTGTCTGTGATCTGGAAAAAAGAGAACAAGCTCTTTCAGTGCTGGGTGCTTTGCACAAGGGCTTTCCCCCTGCTGCTGAAATAAAACTGCAAACTTCTGCCCAATCCACGACAGCGTTTTCCCCACAGCCACCCTCTGACCCCTCAGAACTCATCTCCTGTCTGACCAAACTTCACAGGTACAGATTTTTCCACTCCCTGACAGAAATCAACTCATGTCCTTAAAGGACAGCCAAGGCAGAAGAGTTGCTGGGGTTTGGAACCTCCTTAGTGTAGCTCTTGTGAAAGAAGCTCACAATTCAGAGAAGCAAGTGAGCAGAGCTCTTCACCACCACCACCCCTCTGCAATGTTTGTTTCTGGGAGCACAAGAAGTGTTCAAAGCCCCCTGGTGAACTGCTGAACTGTTCCTCTTTACTCTTTAGGAAGAATGGGACTCAACACAACACTTTCTAGCCTAAGCCCATGCAGAAGGGACCTTGCTGGGGTGTCTGTTCAGTGCAGTCAGCCCAAGGACACAGCCCAGCTTTTCTTCTTCCTTTTTGTTTTGGGGTTGACTATAAATCACTTCCCGTCTGGACTACTGTAATTTCCTCTTCTGATCTCCTGAATTTCTGCCCTGTAAACATCAGGAAACACAGGACCCTGGGGTCACACTGTTCTCATGGCAGGAAGCAAGATCCTTTCATCTCCACTGTCTTTATCTGGATCGATTTCAAACCTGTCCTTAGGGTTAGAGGTTTTTCACTGGATCTTCAGTAAATTCAACAGTTTTCCCTGAAAATGCTACCTTGAAACAGTCAAGGGGCACAATTCACACATCTGCTAAGTGGCCTTAAGGACACATCTATGAAAGACTTTTTATTCTTTCCAGCAGGAGTTGCTACTACAAAGGACCAAACTACAAAAGGAATATTTCCTTATCCAAACACTTGCTCAGGATTCTAAATCAAGCTCCTGTTTGGTGCCAATTTACTTTTCCATCATCCTTCCACACTGCTGTGACTGTGCTAAAGGAGAAACAGCCAGAGGTGGCACCTCCTACCTGGACACACTCTTCCAGGTCCATTTTTTCAAGTTCATGGCAGTTCTGGGAACAAACAGACCGAACACATAAACTAAGTGCAAAGTTCAGACAACAAATATAAACACAACTACAGCAGAGATCATTTTTTTTTTTAAATGAAGGGTTTTCTCTATGAATCATCATGACTGGAAGGGAAATTTGCTGCTGCTTTAAGAACAGCACCAAGTATAAGAAAGAAAATTTAGCAATTTCACACCTTTAAAGGCACAGAGGGTTTTTTTATTCATAGACAGTAATAGTTAAATTTAGGGTCACTTGTAGAAAATAAAGATTAATCTAGAAAAACAAACAGTGAATTTACAACTCCCAAATATTTAACATCTCATGCAGCTGGATGCACATCCTCCCAGATGTGTGGGTCAGGGCAATGCCAAAGGTTGGACACAACCTCAGTTCTGTGACTCAGCTTCCACTCAGATCACAAACATTACAAAAATCTACATTCAAAAAGCTGCTGTTTGTTCTTATCTCCCACGAAAAGAAAGCCAAGATAGTTGATGAAGAAGTGGGAACGAGCACTTACCCTAGCTAGAGTGGTAAAGCCCACATCTGTTAGTTGAGAACACCTTGCAACTTCTAATATTCTGCACAGAAAGAATTTATAATGACCATGGTGGAGTCATTTGGCTTTTCAGAGTGTTTCATTAAAAGCTTCCAGCAACCCAGAAAAGTTTGACCCGGTTTAGGCTGAGCTCTCTGAGGGCAGGATTGGCACAGAGCATCCACCCTCTACACCTGAGGGTAGGTCACAGGGAAAGAAAAAAAGGAGTCAGGCTAAAAGGGAACTCTGAGGGTCCTGGAGTCTGCCCCCCAGGAGGAGGCAGGGGGGTCTGATCCTGCTGGTGCTGGACTAAGGTGCTCTTAAACAAACACCTTCGTGGCTGGACACTCCACAACCTCCCCGAGTACTATCCTCTGATTTCCACCCCAAATACAGACCTCACAGTGAAAAAGAGCCTCACACACATTAACCTCTGTATCATGAGCATTAGGGAATAAATACTGAATGCCACAACTGAAGAATCTGAAGTATTCCAAGAGGTGAACTTGCTTCTGGGACAGAAGAGAAACTTCTGGCAGCCAGTTGCTTCAGCCCTACAGAGGTTCCCTTCACATTCATCCACCTTTAGAGAAGAGGAAACCAACCTGGCTGAAGTGTCTCACACATTTTACCACAGGGAGCTCAATACTGTAGAGCTGCAGCTGGAGCTGAACGTAGACACAGAAACCATTTGGAGCTGAAATGATATTTTACCTTCCTCTTTCAAAACTGGTTTCCATACGCCTGCGTGCTGCACTTTGCACCCATCACTCTTTAAATGAGACATCCCAGAAACCAGCTGTGGTTTGTTTTCCCCTGGAAAACATCTGTTTGATGGCACTCAACACAGGCCACTCGGCTGGTACCCATGTCAGGGAATGAAACTGTCTCTTCTTCCTGCACCTGGCCTTTTTCTGAATGATAGCCAAGTCTTCCTGAGGAAACCTGTCCTAATAAAAGAGTCTTACAAAGAAATTAAAATAAAGCAAGCCCCTGCAGAGGTGTCACTGGAAGCCCATGGTCAAGCAGAGTGAATGTCTGCACAAGTTCCACCTGCTACAAACTCGTCGTGAAAGCCCCGTTAATATCACACGTCGAGAGGAAACAAGGTAATTTAAACACATGTTCAGCTCCCAAGACAAAGGGAACCCATCCTCAACTGTTCTTCATGAAAGAACCAGGGCAGCTGCACACTGGAGTAGGAGGAGATGGCCGTGGGGTGAGCCTCTGGGCAGCAGTGTCACCTCAGCACAGAGCTGCCCCCGCCCCGCTCCCCTGAGCTCCCAAACCAGAGCTTTGGCTCCAGCCACGACCCCCCTGCAGCAAACAGCTGGAAAAGCTCCAGGTAAGAAGTGTCCCTTTGGAGTCTAGAGTGGCTCAAACACGATGTGAGTCCAGCAGTGAGAGGGTGACGGGTCCCTGGGCTCGGGGAGCTCCGTGGTGCCCACTTACCTAAGCCGTGGGCAGTTCTGTCCCAGGGCGTTCAGGATGGCATCTGTAATGTTAGAGCAGCCTGAGGCACACAAGGATTGCAACTTGTGGCATCCTCTGCATATTGTAATGAGACCATCATCTGTTATTTGCTACAAGAAAAACAACAACAACATCACAAGCCATAACGACGTAGGTGGAGGTGCAAGGCACTGAGTATTTTCCTTCTCAGACTTCCAACTGAGGCCAAGTTGGGCTTCTTTCAACCCCAAAAATGCATTCAAATATTTCAGTGGAGCAGCTGAAACAGGAGAAGCCACACTGAAGTGACTTGTAAACACTCAGAGAGTGAGTCCACGTGCAGGGAAATGTTTCTGAGCTGGGCCACGGGAGCAGCCAGCCTAGACTCAGCCTCCTGCCTTCCTTTGCAACCCTCACTAGTAAAGACCTTCTTGGCTGAAACTGAAGACAAGAAAGTTCTGGAGTGAGAGGAAACAGAAACTAAGCAGAATTTGGTATATTTGGTGGAAGCAATCAAGCACCTTATCAGTTTTCTCCTCCCTTCTGCCCGTTTGCCTCCACCCCAGACCCAGGTTTGGAACTTGCTAACAGTTCAGCTCCTCATTTACAAGCACCCAGTCTCAGGTGGACAAGCACCAGTCTCTAGCCAGTCTAGTAACTGGTAAAGCTTCTCCTTAACCAGTACTGGGAGGGGATGAGCCCTGCACCCCCCTTTCCACTTCCATGGAGAAACAAGAGACCGTCCAGTCACTCCCTGCGTCAGCCCAACCCCGCCGTGCAGGCACTAAGAGCCTGTTCCAATTTCTTTTTTGGCATAAATATACATTTCTGGCACTGCAGAGTAAGTGGTTCAGAGCCCTTCTGTGCAGAGGAGCTGCACTCAGTCTCATCTCCTACAGAGAGCAGAGGAGCTGCCTGGCTGGATCCCCACCCAAACGCCCCAGCCCGACGGGAAGGATTTCTCCAGCTAGCCCTGCCAGTGAGTTTAGAAGCCCTGTGGGCAGGGCAAAGAGACAACTCTGACAAAGCAAATGCCACCACGCTGGTGTGGGGGATTATTCAACGTTACTGAGGGCTCCTAAAAAGCTGTTTTCCATCAACTATTTTTTCCAAGCCTCCTAAATTTCCAACTGCTCTGCCTGCACAGAGGAGGAGGTTTGGGCACGGGGCACATTCTGCAGGGTTCTGTGTGGAGCTGGCCTCTGGGCACACCCAGAGTGATGCTGAGCTGGGAGGTCACAGGAAGCTTTACTTACTAAGCACGTTTGGAGGTTTAAAGTCACCAGCTCAGGACAATGTGCACCAATGTATTTCAGAGCTTCGTCCTCAAGCTGGAAAGAAAAATTCAGAGGTTGAAGCAACTGGATAATATTGGAAGAAATCTTCAAAACTCAAGCTTAGAGAACAACCAAACATCTGTGGTTTGGATACCTAAGGGGGAGGAGAGCAAAGCCCTGCAGCCTCCAGGTACACAACAATTAAGTGTGTGTCTTTGTTTTTTTAACCACCTCAGGAACAGAGTTCAAAGAGCCACAACACGAAGTTACTGATTTAAAGAAGAGCTGATCTGATCACTGATCACACACACGTAACTACCACAGCAAGTGGTGGGATCAGAAGCTATTTACAGGAATTAAGGGAACGGTTCACTAGCAAGGGCCTGTAAGTGACACTGTTTTGATGTTGCAATACTGGAACTCTAAAAAAAAGAGAATCTTATTTCAACGTGAGGAGCACAAACATATCCAGGTTGTTTTCTGATGATAAAAAGCCTGCTATGCTTCAATCTATAAGAACAGATGGCCAGTAACTGATAACAAGGATGTATTGTCATCAAGATTACCACTCCATAAATTACAAGAAACTCAAACTGTTTTTATGGTCTGAATGCTCAAAATAGACTGAGGTTGTTGTATCTTTAATCAAGTCATTTTTATGGCCCATCTCACGTATTAGAAACCCCAAAGTAGTATAAATTTGGAAAAACTACTGCCTGTAGCCCTTTCAGCTGGGCTTTCCTGGGCACATGAGGGTAGTGCTGCCTCAGGCACATAAACAGGGTATGAACACTTGAGTCCTTGTCCCTGCACAGGAGGAACAGGCTTTTGGAAAAACAAAACCATACAGAGCTCTTTATCTATAGACAGCAGACAAAAATTGCAGTTACTGACTCACACATAAGGAATCCCTACCCCCAGGGATAGGACTAAATCCCAAACAAGTCCTTTCCATGTTTGGGTCTCCAAGGGCCTCACAGATCAGAGATCATTCTCCAGGTTTACCTCGAGGCTCTTAAACTCTCCCGAGCCTCTGGATCACAGTTTTTGACTCCTGTGGGGCCAGTGCTTTTTCAAGCACAAGATTCTCAGAGCCATGTTTACTCCTTTCTAGCCTGTCTAGGTCTGCATTGAAAAGACCCCAGCCCACTTCAGTAAAAAAAATGAAGAATTGGCCCCCATGTTCTCTGTGAAACAGCCTTGGAAGAGGCTCTTGCTCAAGAGAAGAGTAATGCTCAATGCTGATGCTCCCCAGCTCAGAACTGATGTAACTCCTTAGTAAAGCTGCCATACAGGGAAGTAATTAAGATATTAAACTTTTCAACGATTCACCAGGTAAGAAAGATCAAAGGAAGTTAGTCTAAGTAACAAAAAGTGTAGCAAGGGAGCAAAAAAAAACCCTTTCAGCTCTAGGAGTCAGTGCACCATTCACATACTCCAAAGTACAGGCACCCCAGTCTCTGCAATCTCTCCAAAATCCACTGTTAGAGCTCTGCAGTACACCTGAGGGCAGAGTGCTGTGGCTCCTGACTGGCTGCAGGGTCTGTCCAAGGACTCTCATGCACAGTGATTCTCCTGGACTAACAATAGGATCCAGAGTGGAAATTCTATCACCAGTGCAGACAAAAGTGCTGCCACGCTTCCTAAAATCTGCTGAGCCTTCAGAAAGGGATGGGCTTGGCTGTGAATAACAGAGTTATCTCCTCTTTAAAAAGGTTTGCTCAACGTGTTCCCAGTGGGGAAGGAAGAAGAATGATTCTACAGCTCCAGGTGCAATTTGTTCTCTGTCCTGCTAGTCACGCTGAGCTCAAAGCTATTAAAGAACTTCAATGAAAGCAGTTAATCTCCAACAGACAGACTGTGAGTGATTTCAGTAATGTACCATCTCTAGAAATAGAAAAATCCACGATAGTTTATCCCCATCCTTTCAGTTAGAGCAGAAATAAGCCAGCTGGCAGGAGCCAGCCTGCCCGGAGCCGTACCTGCGTGCAGCCCTTCAGGAACAGGGCTTTGAGTCCACCACAGCCTCTCACCAGTGCCTGGATGCCATCCTTGGTCACTTGGTCACACCAGGAGATATTCAGCTGTTCCAGCAGTGGGCATCCCTCGCTTGGGAGGTGAAAGGAAAAGCGTGTGGAAGTTGGTTTTGCTTTGGTGTGGAAGGAAATTCTGCTTTCTAGGAAATTCCTGGTTCTGGCAGCCACAGGAGCTCAGACTCACACCCACACCCCACACAGCTGAGGGCAACATTCTGTCAAATACCATCTCCAGATGTGAAGAGCCCTCCAGAGACTCAGGAGCTCTAAAGCAGGGTAAAAGTTCCTCCCACTTTGGACACCTCCCAGCTCCTGGACAAGGACAGACAGGATGGGATTTCTGGATCTGAATACAACCAAATCACCCTCTCAGGAGAAGCAAAACCAGGGTCTGATCTGCCACCCTGCTTCTCTGCCCAGGTGTAACTGTGTTTGCTGCCAGCAGGAGTAACACTCAAGTGTAGTTTGTGTAATTCAGAATCAGATCTACACCTTACCATGTATTTAAGGTAAGCTCAGGAGGAAGAAATTGACTGTTACCAAACCAGCATTTTAAAAAGGCAGACTAAGACTCCTGCCTCCCCCTAAATCCCTCCTCCAAGACTTTAATAGAATATAATAATTCTTCTACTGCTAATAACCACCAGGATGGGTAGGAACAAGGTCAAGGTCAGCTTTTACCAAGTTGTTCTCCTCCATCCCAGCAAACCAGGAGGCACAACGTGTGAACACTGAGCTCTGCTGGAGAATGCCCGAGCTGTAACCACAGCTACACCTCAGCCCCTGGCACAGGAGACATGCAGGGCAATGGTCTCACACCCCCCAGAATCAACCAGGAGCAGGCCCTGCTGCTGGCTCCTACCTGAGTGCTTTCAGAGACAGGTTGGTGATGGATGTGCAGGAGGCCAAGTCGAGGTGCCTGAGTTTAGAGCAGAACTTACTGAGGCTGGTGCACGTGCTGGAAGAGAGCACACGAGAGCCACTCAGGGAACAGGTCTGTCCCAAGGCACACACCTTTCACACAACACGTGTGAAGTGACCTCCCCATGCACAAGCCTGGCTTGGCCTTAAAAAAAGGGATGAGAACAGAAGACAGAGCACACAGGAGAGGGGACACTGGGGCAAACAGAGCTGAGAACTCTACTCACGCGTCTGTGATCTTGGTACAACCGTTCAGGTTCAACACTTCAATATTCCTGCAGTTCTGTGCAAACGTCCTTTGTTAAAGGAAAGGGAAAACATGGTCCTTTTATCAGGCAATAGATTCCCAGCTGGTTTACAGCTCTTGTTTTAACTGTAATACAGCGGATGCTGCTTTGTGGAATTGTCTCCAACAAACTAAATAATTTACGTTGCCCTGTATCTTGCCTTGGGATTTCCCAGCCTGAGGGCACAAGCCTGTAATTCAGGGCCAATTACCACTTAGCCTGTAGCAGTAGCTGGCATTATTTTAATGAGAACTGAGAGAAATGGCTGCTGGGTGAAGTTTAAAAATGACAAATTAAAAAGGCTTATACGTTCTCGCTCTCGACGTTCGAAATTGAGACACGCAGCCTAAAGACCTCAGGCTCAAAGTGTTCATAAATTATCCCAACCCTCCGTGGCTGGGGAAGCTGAACCATCCTTTCCATCACATCTGAGAGCAGAGAGAAGCTGTGGGCACTACCTCAGTGCATTGTCTCCCACGCCCAGGCAGCCACGCAGGCTCAGCTTCCGCAAGAAACCCCCGCACCTCTTGGAGATATTCTCCACTACTCGGCCCTGTTGGAGACAGAAAGAATGACATGAAAATCCAAAACTCACCTGAGCAGTCAAAAAGTTGAATTCCCCACTTTGCAGATTAATCAGTTTGTTAATTGTGGGTAAAACAGCGCCAAGGAAACAGAAATGCCACGAGAACGATCTAGGGCAGGGAGAGGGCGAATTATTCAGCTTCTGAAGATGGAGAGACAAGGAAAAATCACCTAAAGCTGCTCAGGCTCATGCCTGAGGAAATTCCTCCAGCTCAAGAGCTCCCAGACATCAATACCAACTACCCAAGAACAAAAGCAGCAATGCCACTGCTCCAACACGGGCAGTAAGATTTACAAATAAGTACAGTCAGTGTAATATAAATGGATATAAATAAGATTCACAAATACATACAATCAGTGTAATATAAATGGATACACTTAATTTTTTATTCAAAAGAGGAGGCAGAGCCAGCCCACAAGTTTTATTCTCACAGAAAAAAAAAAAAGGATTCAAACATTTGTCTTCAAGAACTCTAGAAAAAATGGGGTTTTAATTTCAAATTTTTAATTAGTGGGAGCCTCTGAACGCCCCACTATGAGCCAGCACTCACCCAGCTCCTTCTCACTGTAAATTCAGTGTAAAAGCACTGAGAGAATATTGGCATCTGTGTCCAGAAATCCAAAAACCTCCTTGTCCACTTTGGTCTATGTGGCTGTTCACCACAGAACAGGGGAAATCACTCAGCTCTTCAAGCACCCGTTGGCCCTTCAGGCCTCTACAATGATGAACATATTCCTCTATAATTTTTTTCCAAAAAAATATCAAGCATCAGGCTTGGTACAACATAATTCTGCAGTCACAAAAGGGTTACATCAGCTGATCTAGAGCTCTGCAGGAGCTTCTGGTGACATCTGGCCCCTGCTCTCGGGGCTGGGTGCTGCTGGATGAAGTGCTGCCCTAGCTCAGGCTCAACCTGCACATCCCTGTGCAAAGGCTGCAAAATCTGAAAGGCTCTGTGTGTGTTTCTGCAAGCCCTCTAGCCAGCCTACAAATCCATAGGCTTGAATCAGAGAATTCAAACATGTTTATACATGGAATTTACATGGACTGGTGGATTTACATTCCTTCAAAGCAACCAACATTCAGGACATCAGAAAGTCGAGCAGGTACTTTTGGGTTAGGTACAAGATATTTAAGCATTCTGTTATAAAAGAGGAAGCCTATGCTTATGCAAGAACATGTGTTTGATGTATAGGGTGGTGTTGGAGAACAAAGAGACATTAAAACCATGCAAAACCCACTCAAGAGTGAGAAAAGCCTCGTTTGTATTCACAGCACTCCTGCCTCTCCTCCTACGCAGCCCAAGGGCAGCAGCAAGGGGGAGAAGCTTGGTCCTGCTACCTCCAGAGAGCAGGCCCCACGGGTGACTCTGCTCCACCTCTGTGAAAGCAAGTCATTACATGGGTCCAGAACTTTCAAATTGTGTTGAGAGACCGAGTTTTTATCACCAAGAACAAAACCCACAGAGTTTACTTCCCTTGAGGAGGAACTGAGGCTGCTCAGACCCCTGCAAGCCTGCAGCAGCCCCAGTTCCACAGGCCTGGGCTCCATCCCTGCCCCAGCTGCCCAGACCCAGCTGGCAGAAAGAGATTATTTTAACCCCTTCCTCCACAAGGAATGTCTGTATTTCCCACCAGTTCCCACAAGGTAGGAATCTTCAGCCATCACCTGCTTCATGCCTAAAACGACACTCTCCTTATCTCCCTCCTCCAAGGTGTTTTAAAGAGGATATATCATTCTGATAAGAAAATTTAAGGGTTTGGTTTTTTTTTCTCATCCCTTCAGGCAATTTTAATTTTAAGAAGAGCAAGGCAACAGCATCCACTCCTATCAGTGCCAAGCACTCCACACCTAACAGCTTTACAACAGCCACCACAAAGAGTTTCCAAAAATGCACCTTTTAGAAGCAATTTTGGCCTCATCCCCCTGAATCACCTTCACTTACATTTCCATTTTTTTATATTAAAAAGAGACAGGAAGGGATGGACACATTGCAGGCCAAGTTGCAGAAGACATTCAGTATCAAAGGTCCAAGTCAGCACTATGCTGACATTTCTGAGTGAAAACAGCCTAAATCCTCCTTCCCAGAGGCAGCAGTTTTCCACCAGAACACACCAATCCTACAGGCTTCTGTTTTCAGAAGACAAAAATACTTTCCTTCTATCCTTTTACCTTTAAGGCTTGATACAGATACAGCACTCTGTCCATGTTCAAAAGCTGAATGGATTGCCAAGACTCCCTGAAGCTCAGAAGAACCGAAATTAATGATTTCTGTCTCCAGGGAAGGCAGAAAGGGTTACACTGGGAGTATTAATCCAGTCGAGGCTGTAATTACATTTTAACAAGAAAAAATGGGTTTGTATGTCACTTAATTATACCTCAATATCCCTCTGGAAATCAAACAGGTCAATTCGCTGCCAGTTACTGCCATCCAGGGCCAGAACATTCCATGCCTTTATCGGGGGAAAAAATGTAAATGTGTTGTTAATAGAAAAAAAAACCAACAAAAACAAACCCAAAAGAAACCCCCCCAGTGGGGACCTAGTCACAGTTTGTTCCTTTTAGAAACAACACCCTGCCTCAGATGGAAAGGCAGCAGGTAGTGACAGCCCAGCAGGAAGGTGGTGGAGTTTCCCTGCTCACCACCTCTCACCTCAGCGTTTGGGTTGGGTTTGGGGTTTTTATTTTAAACAAAAAATCTTGTGTGGTTCACGTGACCAATGAGAACCAGGAACTGAAAGTTATCTGCCCTTAACCCATCCAAATGTTGTCAACACTGCACTATACTGAAGTCTGGATTACAAATTAAAACAGCTAGGTGTGGTAACAACCCCGAGTCCATCGCTACCCAAGTGTGCACACGTGTATACAGCTGTATTTTGTACCAGCACTAAGCTGCATCCCCATCAACACACCAGTTCTTGTAGGAGCCTCACACAGACTCAGAGCAAGTGACAGAACTGACACTGTGACATTGGCAAGTGTCAGAGAGCCTGTTCTGGTCACTATAGATCTGCTGGAGCAGTGATGTTCAGCTGGAAGATGTTTCACTGTGTTCCTCAGAGAAGGTGGGATGATAATTGTCCTGTCTAGGCATTACATGGGATATTTTTTAATGGAATCAGAAATGTTTAAGCACAGTGGTTTTTTTATTATGGGCTCTGAATGATGAAACAAGCAGTGGTTCAGGTTTGAAGCAGAGATTGGTGGTTTTGTGCAGGTGTCACCCAGTGCTGGCTCTGCAGGGAACACACTGCTACAAACCCCCTCCTGCACAACTGACCCCCCACTCCTGCTGGGGTAACACCTCCCCTCTGTGTCCCTCCAGACACTGGCAGGATAAAGGATCTGGACACATCTGGCAGCTCCAGGTAACTGGACCTGCAAGTGGAGGCAGCTTCCCAAGAGAATAATCCAAACTGGATTTCATTAGCTGATGCCCATGAAACCACCTAAGGGAAAAAACCACCCTAAACAGAACACTCCATCTTTAATTCCATGCTTACTCCAGGGAATAACAGCTTGGAAGGGACCTCAAGGATGACACTCCAACTACATCCCAGTAGGAGAGTCAACTTTCATTGCCTGCACAGCACCTTTGTGAATCAAACCTTCTGTATCTCCACCAAAACCCACAAGATGCCATTTTAGCCTCATCCATCCAAGTTTGGTGTTCTCACCAGCACAGGCCTCCTGGGCTGACTGGAGAGCTCCTGGGCTCAGCCACCTCCCCTTTAGAACCTGCATGGGGACTGGGATGTGGCAAAACATCTTCAAGCTTTGAGTCCCCCTTCCCTGGTGCCATCACAAGTTTCTGGTATTGTGGTGTTAATACAGGACAGTTACCAACAGCAGTTGAGTGGCACAAAGCTCCCTGGTTCCAGCCCTCCTGGTTTGACATGCTGGGAAGGCTGGAGGGAGGGGATTGTCACCCAAATCCCACCAACTGTTAAAATCCATCACCAGGGAGGAAGGTTCTTACCCTGGAAACTTGAGCGCAGCGACACAGAGTGACCACATCCAGGAAAGAGAAAATTCTGGAACAGAAATAAAAGGCACCTGATTGGTCATCTGCATTTAAACCAAAGAGAATATGATAAAACAAGGGGGGGGGAGGTGAGAAAAGACTGGAGACAGCAAAACTTTGTCATTCAGTTGAGAGCTGAACTGTGAAAAGAAGCACAGACCTAGCAGAGGACAAACCAGACACTGAGCCACGTGTGGCACTGCTGTGCCAGGGCATGCCCAGCCTGCAGGGTCCTGGTTACTGGGCTAAAGGAGCTGGAGGGCAACACTTGGCAGTGCCACACTGGGCTGAGCCAGCCCTGCTCTGCCCTCGGGCACTGACACCCCAGCCTGGGGACTCAGGGAGCTCCCAAATCTGTACCAGTTGTTTCTTCTCCCAAGTAACCAGCAACAGGATGAGGGGCAATGGGCTGAAGTTGGACCAGGGGAGGTTTTGATTGGATATTTGGAAGAATTTCCTTCCTGGCAGAGTGGTGAGGCCTTGGCCAGGCTGCCCAGGGAGGTGGGGGGGTGCCCATCTCTGGAGGGGTTCTGGATGTGGCACTTGGGGACATGGTTTAGTGGTCGTGGTGGTGTGGGGTTGATGGTTGGACTTGATGATCTTAGAGGTCTTTTCCAACTTTGGTGATTCTATGACTTTATAACAACTATTTTATGGTTTCTGGTTACTCAATCCCAGGCCACAGAGCAGAGGAGCCCAAGCAGGCAGGAGGATTGTGAGGTCTCCATACTTCCAGAGCAATTATAAAACTGCAGGATGAAAAGATTTTGCAAATGTAACAGAGGTGTTTGACTACAGGAAATCCTGCACACGTGCTGTAATATTTTAAACCTGAAGATGACTGGAACAAGAAGGCAAATGTTACCAGAGAGGTGTTCAGGGTGGGGATGAAGCAGTTTTGTGCTATAGACTATTTTATAAAATACTCTTGCCAGTTAAAACATGGCTGTCCAGGAAAGACTCTGAGAACAAAGGAGACTCCACTGCTCCAAAACTCTCCAGACCTTCTCAGGAGAATGGTGTACACCCAGCTTAGCCATCTCCTGGACACCTGCAACCCTCCAGCCCTCTCCTCACACAACCACAGGGGTACCTGAGCTGTCCCATGTCCCCAGCAGCCCTGCCTGTGCTGGGAGAGACCTGGAAACGAGGTGACATTGCTGGCAGCACCTTCTTTTCCCATGACTTACAAGCTTCAAAAACACCCAGTAGTGATGTTACTGAAGCTCTCCTCAACCCCAGAGAGTTGTACAATGTGCTCATCTCCCCAGGCATGCACAGAATACATCTGAGTGAACAGCACAGATGCTGATAACGGGGGAAGAGGTGCTGGGAACAACGAACACACACCATGAGTGGCACAGAGAAACTGCACTTTGTCCTAGAGATAAACAGCAGGGGGTTATCTGGGATTTTGCTCCTGACTCCAGGTTTTGTAGGTGAGTTAATGTGTGCTGTGCACCTTCCACCACCCAGGGGGTTGTGTCTTGCTGTATACACACAGCAAATCCTGGAGTTTCCAGTTCTAGGAGAGGCCACCAGCAAGGCTGAGGTGATATAACAGGATATAACAATTGCATGATCAAGCTGTCTGGACCAGCAGGTCTGTAACACCTCAGAAACATCAGTTTGGGTGGAAAAGGACAAGACTGCTAGAGGGTGAATGCAGTTTATTTATCAAAACACAGCTGCTTACAGGCCTCATGTACCTGAACAGTCAAACGTTCAGTCAAACCAGGCAAAGGGAGAACAAACAGCCCCATGCTCTGCCCAGAGACACTCCCAGATGCAAGGAGTTTGGTTCAGGATGCTTCTCATCTGTCCCTTACATGTCTCATCATGAGACAAAATTCAGTGATACATTGAGATACACCCAGTTGCAGTTTCTGAGAGGAGCTAACATGCACTTTAAGGCTGTTCTGGGAGCCCAGTTTGGGATTTCAGCAGCAGTTCCACACTCGCTGCTTACACACCTTCCCCTTGAATTCAGTTTCATTTATTTGTGCATCTGTGTGAGCACTGAGGATTTATTTAGCACCATGTCAATGTACAACAATACAAGGAAAGCCTGAGGAAATGAGAGAAGCTAGGGAAAATTCTTACTTTCACCCTAGATTCCCACCACAGGAGCAAAAAAACCACAGACTCCGTGGGAATGGTGGCTAGGTCAATAACTGCACAAGTTTTCTCTAGTTCCATTAAATTTGCTTTCTTCATGGAAATCCCAGGCTATTAATAACCATCTCATCCCTCTATCAAGGCTATTAGGTCTTGGTCAAGCTCTTTTCTGCTTCCTGCTCCTCCCTCCCCAGTCCAGCACCCACTGAAGGGATGTTCACACAGAACAGCCCCTCACCCCGATGGTAACTGAGCTGTGCTTGGACTTCCCTCCTCTAACTCAGACACTGGCTCTGAAGAGCTTAAGAACATTTCTCAGTGTTTTCTGAACTGCTGGTGCATTTGCTCAAGAATATGAACAATGATTCAGCAGAATGGGGCTGCAAAAGTCACTGCTGAGCAGCAGCCACTCCTCTGTCGTGCATTTCGGTCGTTTCAGAACTGGCTCCAGCTACAACCCCCCACAGGACCTGGGCAGAGCAGCAGCAGCACTGCTCAAGTCCTGCAGGCACAAGGACCTGAGCTGAGTGTCCTAATGCAGCCCTCAGGACCAGATCTTTCTTCTCCAAGGAGCTGCTGGGGAACATTAAAAAGCCCCCAAATCCCCACGGCAAATAAAGAAGCTGCCCACGTGGCTAAGAAGTGATGGAGCAGTTGCTGCCTTCCAACAGGAGCACAGAACAGGTCCCCAGTGCTGGGTCCCCTTGCAGCCATCTGCACAGCACAGAACAAAGCAGAGGTAATCAATATGTGCTCTCAACACAACACATGTTCTGGCTAATGCTCCACAGCTCAATGAAAACTGGACATGGCAACGAGGAAACACTCTGGGCTGACAGGAGAGCTGGATGCAGCTTAGCTGGGCAGCTCCAGACCCTCTCCCAGCAGTAGAGGAACACTAGAGAGGGGTGATCCTCCAGGGGTTGTTCCAAGGGACCAAACCTTTCAAAAATATCTGCTGCTCTGGTCAGACTTGCTTTGTCTGGTGAAAGAAAGGAGTAGCAGGCTGACCAGTACTACCTGAGTGATGGTTTTCCTGATTCTGCCTTAGAGCTCCAGAGGCACCTCACTGGTTGTCTGCTTCTACATCCACACTCAGGGCTCCTGTTCTGCTCACAGCTGGCTGCTCTACTCTTACATTGGTCTTTTTCTTCTTCAGAGTTGACAGTAAGAAAATAATCCATGGCAGTAAGTTCATCATCAGACAGGGAGAGCAGGGGAAGGCAGAGTGAGTGTTCTGAACATTCAGCTGGTACTGCAGCAGGCAGAACTGTTGCACTGCAAAGCAACTCCCCATGCTGAGGACTTTGCCTGAACCCTTTAGCACTGGACAATTTAGCTAAAACACACTGAGGTTACAGCATTTTTCAGGTTTCAACCTCTTAATCCACTCAGGGGTTTCTAGGACTCCTCACTTTCCCACTGCCACTCTAATGAGATTAGGGTCAAGACTCTAATGAAATCCCTGCATGCTGGGGGCTTTGAGGTGAGCTAGCTTAGACCTTTAGCTTTCTAAAATTACCAACACCAACTGATGTCAGCAACCCACCAGCCCAGCTAAACTCTGCTCTGCACTCATTTTACACCAACAGGCTGGCCTGGAGGAGGGAAGGACAATTCTGCTGCCAGTTCACAGGTCCCCAACACAGGCTGGCACCGCCTGGTCCTGAGCAGAACTCCAGCTCCTGAGGAATAAATCAGCGTGGGGCTTGAAGGTCAGATGGCACAGGCAGTGCCAAGGCCTGGCCGTGCTGGGAACGGGCTGGCAGGCAGCAGCAGGGAGTAAAAGCTGCTTACACCACGAGGGAACTGCAAACTGCTTGACCTGCCCGTGAACCAGTGGGGAAAAGATGAACTCCTGCAGCCCAGACCCCTTCACCCTGCCAAGTGTAAGCTGTTTAGCAGCCCCACGTCATGCCAAGAGGAAACCTCCTTCAGGAAGCCAGCAGGGACCACCAGTGCCAAGGAGAAGCCAGGTCCCTGAGCTGGGCAGTGCCTGCAGAGGAGCTGGTGGCAGTGGAGGAACGAGGGGCACTCAGATTTCTCCTGCTTTGGCTCATCTTCCCCTGTGCACAGTTTGTGTGTGGGCTCCTGGGCTGGCAGGAAACAAAGCTGAGGCAGGTACAGCAGCATCAGGCCCAGGACTGTGACCCATCAGCTGATCTCTCTACCCACGTGCTGCAGGACAGCTTTGTTTGGAGTCCTGCTCTCAGGGCAGCACGGGACAAACCCCACTGTCACCTGCAGCAGGGCAGAACGTGACACATCCACTGAACCCTGGACACGTGGATCTGTGAGGACAGCCCCCCAGAGCACCTCCCAGCTCCACCCCACCCTCCCAGGCAGCAACATTCCTGGAGTTGCACATTTTGCTGTGACAAAAGCTGCTGTTCACCCCTTCTAGAGCCTCCTGCTCTTTATTTTGCTCAAGTACTGCTTGCCACGTTGCAGCCACACACAGGAGACACCAATGCCATCTGCAGAATGAACAAACCAGAGGAGAAGACATCACACAGCAGCACTGCTCCAACACACTGGCCTTTGTCTGGCAGACAGTGACACTCATTCAGGGGAGATTCCTGCAGATAAACCCCTCCAAGCTCCTCTTTCAAAGGCTGCACTGTCAATCCACACCAATTCATTCTCACAGGATGCCAACAGTGAATGCCAACTCTCAAAACCATTGCTTATGAACTTTAACATTTATCAACTCAGCCTCCTGATCTCTCCCAGGCTCCCACAGCCCTGAACACTTCTGCTGCACAGCAGGACAGGGTGATCAGTGGTGTCACCACAAAAGGCAAAAGCACCTCTGCAGGGCAGCAGTGTGTGTGCTGCTGAGAGCTCATGGCTTGCACTGCCCAAATTCCCTGCCTGGGCCAGGACCTTCCCTTCCCATCACAACAAACCCCTCCCCAGGGGTCCAGCAATGCTCCTCAACACCAGGTACCTCCTGTGAACCAAGATTTGCTTCTTGGCCCCCCTAAGGCTCTTTCTGCTTTGACCTGTCTACCAGAAAGCTCACCCATGCTCTAATCAAGGTCCTGCTCCTTGGAAGTCCTCTGACCACGTGTCTTCTCCCCTGAAGTCCATGCAAAATCTCAATTAAATTCCATCCCCTGACCTTTGTCTGCCTGCCAGGTTCCCTGCTGTCCCTGTGCCACACAAACACCTCACCTCACTTGTCAGGGCTCTTCAGAACCTGACCCCAGCCTCTGGCTGTCTGGTCACCTTATCAGAAGGGCAAATCCTGGTTCTGTTGCATGTGCAATACCAGTACCTAATTTTTCCAATCAGAAAAAGAATCTCCCTCTCAGAAAAAAACAGAGAGACATTTCTCTTACTCTTTAAATTCCCCTTCTGCTGCCACACATCCATACCCAGTGATTCAGGGCAAGTGCTGGGGGAAGACAAAGGCTGTCCCCTACAAAACCCAGTGCAGATCCAGCTGGGCTGGGCCACCCCATCATGTTTTTCTCTCCATCCCACTCCTCCCACAGGTCACTTGTCTCTTCCAGGAACTGGATGCTCATTTTCAGTCTCAGTCCAGCATGGACAACCCTTTGCCTGTGTACCAGGCTCAAACACCCACACGAGGAGCAAGGAGGGCACTAGAAGCCAGACATCTTGCTTGGGGGTGCCAGTGGAGCAAAAGAAAGGGAATCAGAGTGGAGATGGTGTTACAGGGGACAGAGGAGAGCGTGCAGTCAAAAGAAAGGACAGTCAGACCTTTTTTTCTATTCCTTTTGTTTCACAAGCAAGAGAGACAGTTGCCTGTGTCAGAGCTCCTCTCTCCAGACCTTTTCCTGCTGCTGAGTTCTGACAGCACCACAGGTCCTTGCAGCATTCAGGATTTTGTTTGTGTAAATAATTCAAGCTGCCTTTACCACGTGCAGTCTGACACCCCAGCTCACAGCACCAGTGAGCCCCATTCTGCTCCCCCACCCCAAAGGGTGAAAAGGTCCCTCTGTGTGTGTGTATATATGGCAGAGGGAGGGGGCAGAGCTGCCCACGGAGATCCACCAAGTCTGATCTGTTTGATTTCTGCCAACAGGATCCTCCTGCCAGGTGCTGAGGATCTGAATCCTGTCAGCAAGGACAAAGTCTGCTCGAGCACAGCAGCAGCAGCAGAACTCTTCTTTTTTAAACCCAACACTTCAAGAGAATCCTGTTCTACCCATTAGCCCGTACTCACCATTTATTTTCATTAAGGACTTGTTCAGTCCTATAGTTCCTCCACCTACAAATCAGGCAACCAGCAAATTAATTTAGCATTTAAAAAAAACCCCATCACAATATTCAGCATAAACGGCTGCTGATGCAAACCTTTGATCTGCTTCTGTTTGTTGATAGCTTCATAAGCAACCTAGTCCAGGCTCATCTTTTATGAGCACAGCAGCAAAATCAGCCACTGGCTGCAAATCCCAGCACCAGACCCAGTCTCCAAGCTCCCCAACTGGAGGGGTTCTTACCGCAGCAGCAGCTCTTTTGGAAGTTTTTTGTTGATCACAGCTTCATCATTGTTTGAGAACATCTGTAAGCAAAAACAATTTGAACAATTTAGCCATGTATTTTCACCAAGGAAACAACACCTTCTTCACTCTAAGGGAGAAGCTGCTGGTTCATGAGGCCAGTTTGAGAGAGAGATCTGGCCCAATAAACGCTCAGAGGATAAACTTTGTGCTCAAGCTTTTAAACTCCTGGAGGGGAACACAGCTGGAGAGAATATTTCAACCCAGGGAGTTTAAAAACTGGTCCAGGAACACTCTGTGGTGTGATAGATTGAACAGACAGTGAGATTTTTAATTTCTCTGTTAAATGATAACTAGGGTGTACTCGTTGGCTGGCGCTGACCATAGGAAGGTGTCAGCACAGCACAGGCACTAAAACATTGTGGGGTAACCACACAGCAAACAAGTGCATGGCACAACTGCTGGAGGGAAGGGCTGTGGCAGTGATGGAGCAGCCCCAGCACCCAGCACAGGCACAGGAGGGCTGGATTCTGTACCAGGAAGGCTGCAGAGTGCTGGGGAACAGCAGCCTAAGGAAGAAGTGCCACAGCTCCCATATGGCTCTCAGGGCCAGTGGCTGGAGAGCAGCCCTGAGGAGCTTAGGGGCAAAGAGTATTTTTGGGGTTTTGTAAGCCATGAAGCATGGTTTAGGGGATGACACAATCTTTGGTGCTGCATCAGGAGGAGAGCTGGTTCTGGGAGACCACAGTGCTCTCCCCAAGGCAAGGAAGCCAGAGCTGCTGGTTGTATCCCATGCAGAGTGTTATCACAGTGGCCAACAATTCACAAATCTGCAAGAGGCTTTTGGACCAGCTAAGATAAGCTCAGTAGCTGTTAGGAATGAGAGAGACTTCTCTTCCCAATGAGTCTTAAGGAAAACAGACAGCAAAGCCTCCTGTGTTTTTGGAGAGGTCTCTACATACATTAAAAGACTTGGCACTGCCTTGCCATGGTGAAAACCAACCAATGAACCAAGGGACCTCCATGTGCTCATGCCTGTGGGAGGAACAGAGTGCTCTGTGAGCTGAGACTGCTGAGCAGTGATGCCTCAGCCCATTTGGAAGCAACATTTCCCAAAGCAAAGCAGGGAGCAAGGCCAACGAGCTTTAATTTCATTAATTAAGTTTCTCTTTAATCTCCGGACCGACGAAGAGCTGATCTTCCTGAGCTCCATACCTGGTATAAACTGCTGCTGAAATGAGTCTGGAAAAGCTGATTCTGATGGGTCTGACTGGATTGATGTGTGTATGCAAAGCAAATAAACCCACCCCAGCGAGGTCACGGACGTGGCAGAGGATGAGATTAAGAGTTAAAAAAGGAAAGTAAGACCTTGGTGGCTTAGGAAGCTGCACACAGGCAGCAGCTCCTCAGGCAGTATTGTGTCCCTGAGCAGCACCCCCAGCCCACCACCTCCCTCAGGAACCATCATCACTTGATGGCAACAGCCAACGTGCTGCTGCCAAGCGACACCCCCCAAAGGTGCCAACAGGACAACACCACCGTGGGAAGAGAGCCCCAAACCCAGAGTTTTCACACCCAGTCCCACTTGAAAGCTGCATTTCTAAATCACAGATTGCTTTTTAATTATCAAGACACCCAAGTGCAAGGCTGAGGTGGGACAGGAGCTCCCCAGAGTGTCACACAGCACAGAGGTGTGGCTGTCCCCCCACAGGCACTTTCAGCACTTCCCACCAGCTGCTATCACAAGTTAGGGAGTCCTGAACACTCCACCAGCCAGGCAACCACTCAGCCCCTTTTGGGGCTAATTAAAGTGGAAATTTGGCCATTTCCCCAGCTCACACCATCGCTGTGAAGCCTCTTCCCTCAGAGTGGGGCAGAAGAGCATCTCCTCGAGGCCAGGCCCCTGTTCAGGCTGGGTCACAGACCCCCCCTCATGCCTGGCAGGTAACTGTGAGTGCCACAGTGGGTCAGGACGTTGCCCAGGGCTGGGAGAGAAGTGTGAGTTGGCAGCACAGCGCACCTCATTCGATGGCTTAGCTGATCAGCTGGGAACCTGAGGAAACTCTGCAGAAAGCTCTCCTGAAGGAGAAATGCTGAGGAATTATCCATGGGAAAAGGAGACTCAGATTTTCCTTCCCCCTGTCACCACAACAACTGCAACCAGGCAGATCCATCCTCCTTCCCATTATTGTCCAGCCTGGAATTTTACATCTGAACCAGCACTATCCACCCCCTACACACAAAAAAACGGTGAGAGAAATTAAAGGAGCAAATCAGAGAGCAGCAGGAGACTTCCGAAAAGGAACCAGGCGAGAGGAGAACAGGCAAGGGGCAGGAAATATTAAAATAGAGACTCTGGGAGCAGCCAGCTGGTTCTGTCTCCTCTGTGCTGGCAAGAAGGCTCTGTCTGAACTCAGCTTTTGTGTGAGAACACAGGAGAGAGTCACTGCCCTGAGATGGGGCACAAACAGCTGAACACAGGGGACCCCTCCCTGCTGCCCAGCACGACCACAGGGCAAATCAAAGCCTGGAGCTGCTGCTCACCAGAAGCTCCCCTCAGACTGGTGAGATCCTAAAGAAACATTTGGGATTTGTCTGAACGAAGTCCCTGGGCTGAGATGTGGCAGGGCTGAGGCAGGATGAGCTGGGCAGGAGAACCTCAGTGCTGGAATTCCCCCACCACGTGTCAGGGTATGTCCCAGACCTGTTTTCTCAAGGCTTCCTTCAAACCTTGGTGCTCAGAGGAGAGGCTGGGGGAGAAGAGGCTGGAATTGGGATATTGTGCTGACTCACAGCAGCATGTACAATATAATACTTATACCAATGACATTCTGACCTGCTGGCAAGTCCATACGAGAATAAAACTGATCTGAGAAAGAAAAAATGATAAAGGCTGTTCCAGACTTCAGCCTTTCAAAATTACACCCACCCAATTCCAGCCCCAGTGCTTGGCACCAACTTTGCAAGCCCAAAGAAACGACAGAACTGGGGACTTCATGCACAAATCAACCCTTTCTCTCCCAAACCAATTAAAGTGTTAACACATTCACGTTGAGGAGATAAAAGAACTGTAAGTACTTGGCTCCCAGCTCAGAGCAGTTTGGTGCCTTCAGCCTTTGGCTGTGCACCCAGAGGGACCTCCCAGAGCTGCCAGTCGGGTGCTGGTGGTGGCAGCTGCTCACTGCAGGGCACGGGGACCCAAACTGGGTCATCTGGGTGACATCAGCACGGGATCCAGGGGACAGCACTGGGCAGCAGAGCGTGCCACGGGTGACAGGGTGTAATTAGGAGCGTCCCTGCCGCAGGATCTACCAGACTCCTCAAGAGGGATGGGACAAGAGTTGATGCAAGCTCCAAGTGAGGCAACCCTGGGCAGGCAGGTATTACCCCAGCGAAGGGAAGCAGCAGAGCACTGTGTCATCACTGCAGCCTCTCATTTCACCTTTGGGCAAGTCTTGCGTTGTCACAGACCGGGTTTCAAAAGCCACACAAGCGTGGAGGCTCCTCTTGGTCTCCTCCTTCAGTCAGGTCTAGTGCCAGAGGCTCCATCCTGCCCCACGTCGATGGTACTGTCAGTATTCAGGGTGTAAATGAGGGGCCTGTGCTGGGCTGATCCAGCTGCAGGTCAGGCAGCACAGCTTCTCCCCATCATCTGACACAAACCTGTGGCACCAGCAAACAGAGCCAGCTCCTCAGGACACCCACACTCCACACACACTTCACTCTGTTTTACAAGCTTCCACCTGAGGAAAAGATGCTGTAGTAACACAGAGGTCTCTGTTATCAAGCTGATTGACCTATCCCACAGCAGCAAGTAAAACCTCCTCCAGTGAGAACACCCACATTCCACTTTACAACTTTCCACCTGAGGAAAAGATGTTGTAGTAATAGAGGTCTCTGTTATCAAGCTGATTGACCTATCCCACAGCAGCAAGTAAAACCTCCTCCAGTGAGAAGAACCTTCATTCACTTTCTGCAAAATTTCAATCTTTGCTTCCAGAACAACAGCTACACTCTGTACCCTTCCCCTAGAAAGTCTCCAAACACACCTTGGCCCAAAGTTGTCCTTCCCAGCTTACAGAGAGCTGGAAAATCTCCACAGGAGCTGCTACAGACCCAGCTCCAGGCAGGCTCTTGGCTGGCACAGGACACACACACACAGTCCTTTCCTGTAAGTGCCACATCTGGCAATGGTTTGGGTTTCATTGTTGGGGAAAGGCTTGGAGGGGTGTTCTTACAGAGAACAGAAGTTTTCTTTTTCACTTTTCTGTGTTGGAAAAATATCCTTGAGAGGTTTTTAAATGAGTTATTTCAATCTTTACAGCTTTCTGGAAGTAATTAGGAATATTAACGTACAGAACACAAAGCACATTTATTTTACATTACCCTAAATGCTCAAAACTCCTTTCTGGAAGCCATGCTTACGTTACTGGCTGCATTTCTAAGAGAACAAGAGTCTACTCATCTGACGTACCAAAAAGACTTTCCACAAGTTGAGCAGCAGGGACTTTTGGCAGTAAAAGCAGCAGTTTGGACATAAAGACACAGCAGACCAGAGCCGGTACGACAGCACGGACTGAAAAACATCATTGATTTTCCCAACGTTTTGTTCTGCAGAATTTTGCCCACAAAAGACCCAAGCAGACAAAGGACAGAGTCGATCTGCAGCATGATGTGGGTGCTCTACAATTAAGACACACAAACACTCACACACTTCCAGCAGCTTCAACTCCAGAACCTGATCGTCCCAGTGTCACCAAAATCCTGCTCTGTCAACAGGCAGGAGGGAATTCACCAGCCTAAAGCTTCCAGGTTGGCCACAAAGACTTATTTGCTTTCAATGGGGCTGTTTGCAGAGCTCCTTTGTGCATAAAGCTGTCTCTGGCTGTGGCAGCAGGGAGGAAAGGAGCATCCCCCCTCTCCCTGCCCTCCCCCAGACCCAACCGCGCTCACGGCCGGGGTCTGCGAGGACTGCAGCGTCCTCAGAAGTGCTGAAGAACTGATGTTAGCTGGAGAAGAAACAAACCACCATCAGCACCACCAAGGGATGAAGGAACTGTGC